CTTAGATGTTCAATCCACTATGGTGTTAAACCCTATTTGGTTTATGTTAAAACTGATTGAAAATTAGTCTATGGAGTTATGAACTAGCTTGGTTTATATGATTTAATGTTTACTTCTATTTTTAGAAAGACTATAGAAATTGTAAGTACCAAAAAAAAAAATAATCACTAAATTTTAAAGCTAATAACTTTAGCTAGCCCACCCGTTGAAAAATTTCTGGTTCCGCCCTTGCATTCAGCATTCCAAACTTGAGAAAGAAGAGGTAAAGCAGCAATCCTTCTAGTTATTTTGCTTCCAACCTCTTCTCTCTCTCTCTCTCTCTCTCATATTTTCACAGACCATATATACCAAAATGTTTAACATATTTCACTACTTAAAAACTGTGGTAAAAACTGTATGGCCACTACGAAATTGTCGGTCTTCTATATGGGAGTTTGACAAATGACTGAGCTAGTTGCTGGGCCCCACCTGTACTCCAGCTCTTTATCAGCAACTCTTGGAGAATATAAAAATAATATATTTTATTCAATATGGACGCAAATAACTGTGGCTAAAAATGTAAACTTTTATAAAAAATAAAAATAATTTAATTTAATTTAAAGAAATTCAAATACCAAAAACAAATAAATTTTGTTACAATAATTCTTTGTACAACTAACTATGAGTATCTACGTATTTTACAGATTTACAATAGAACCTATAGTATTTGCAACAAAGTCCCTCCTAACAATAGCATCTTTCAGTCTTCATACAAGTACTTTGATGATGATATGATAATTGGAGACGAAATTTGTGCCTAAACTTTTTGAGCACAATTATTTCCCTATTCTGTTAACATTGGACACAAAACATTTGTGTTTTCCCTCTATATCACACAAATACTATGTCAACGTGTTTGAAAAGGACATGAATGTATTTTTTGTGCTCTTTGGATCGTGCTTTTAGACCAGTCTTTTAGTAGTGTTTACATATATCATTAGGGTTCTTAGAAAACTACTTCTGATCACATTTCTTTGTTTATTGTAGCACTCCAAACTTGAAACCTAGCATAGGGAGAAAGCAGCAATGCCTCTATAGGTATTTTGCTTCCCAA